TTCTGAAGCAGCTCTGGGGGCCCCTTTTATGAATCTTTAATTGCCCTGTCCTGGCTGCTTTGATGTCCTGAACTGATGCACAGCATTTCCCATCTTGACTTTGGGGAAGAGCCAGAAGTCGCATGGTGCCATTCCTGGTGCATAAGGTAGATGAGGACACAGCGTCAAATTTTTACCAGCCTCCTTTTCTGGATGGCATTTGGTAACAGCATTCACTGTATTTTTTTTTTTTATCACCCATCATTAATGACACTCATGTAAGAGGATTTCCACAGGTGCTGCAGAATGTGGCAAGAATGATGGGATGAGAGTTTTCAAATGAGGGAGGGGGATTTTGAGGGAAATTCATGCTAACATATCTTTTCCTGTAACAAATTTTCAATATTGAAGGCATCACCATATATTTTGATCATCCCTTGTATCCTTTCTGGCCTGTTGGATTCTAAATGTTTCCCAGCATGGAGAATTGGTGAGAGTGCTGCCCTGGGGTAGGTATTGGGTATGGTCCAGAGCATGAAGTGGACCAGTCCTGCACCCCAGGGAGCCCACTCCTCCAGACCCCGAGGAGACCAGGAAGGAGCTGGTGAAGCATGAGGGGGAAGCAAGTGTCTGAGTCTTCCTGAGCACAGGAAGTCACCAGCTCTGCTCCTCCAGAAGGTTTGGGGGCTCTTCCCAGGCACTCTGGAGTAAAAGGTGAACTAGGAGCTTGTGGGCTTCCAGGCCATACTGGGAAGGGAGCTGGGGAGGCTGAGGCAAAACCACCAGGACACAAAAGCAGCAGTCAGGGAAAACCTCCCAACAGACAGGATCTGGGGCAGCCGGGAAGCTCAGTCTAGCTCAGATGTCAGGCTCCTGCAGGTGGCTGCTGCCCATTCTCCCTCCCCAGTGTGCTCCGAACTCAACTGCTCCCGTGAGCTTATGTGTCCAGCTACATCATCCTGTCTAGACCATCCTGTGCTGCCCACACTAGTCAGTGCCCCTGCAAACACTAGCAGTGCAGCAGCCTGTAGGGCTGGCTCAGCAAGAAACCCACTCTGGAAGGCTGGGACAGACAGGGCACCAGAGCCCAGGCATTGTGCTCTGGAAGGGGCACTGCCCGGGTCAGAGCAGAGTCAGAGCTGTTCTCTGCAGCACATGTTCCCCACAAAGTCGGCACCTTCACACTGGCGCCCTGCTTGGCATGGTTGGTACATCATGATGAGCTCCTCTTCCTAGTCAGCTGGTAAGCTGTTGTTGCCTCGAGATGACATGCCCAACCTGAAACAGATGGGACTTTGGGTCATGTTTGGTATCAGTCAGCTTTACCCAGTGACCACAGCGTCCAGCCCAAAGCCTATCCAGCACAAAGCGCATGCCTCTCCACATCCTGGGCCTGCTGCCACTGTGGAGAAAGGAGTGGTGAAGGCCATTGGGAAGGCAGCAGCATGTAGTTCAGGGTTCTGCTGTCACCTGCTCCCTGCTGGTCCCCTATGCAGCAGCCCTGCAAGACTCCAGGGTGCAGTGCTGGCAAGGGGAATAGGTGGTATCCAAGGGTAGGGCTCAGCAGAGGAAGCCCTAGACATCGGGAAGCATCCCCCAAATGCAGCAGACCCACTGCCTATGCATGCAGGAGAGGCCTCAGACTCATTCCACACCCACAGAGCACAGGAAATGAGTGGCAGATCCTTTCGAACACTCTGGTACCAAGGCAGTGGCCACACATGGAAGCTATGGTTTGAGTGTCACTAATAGCCTCTGCTCCCATGTAGGCTGACAATTTAGCACCTTCCCCAACTCCAGCACTAGCAGGTCAGAGCTGGGGACATTATAGGAGCTGCCCCCAGGACAGCCCCCCAGAAGGCCTGGGAAGACTGGCTGTTTCCGTCAGAAAGAGTTTGTGAGCAGTAGACAGGGATCTGTGGATGTTGTCTTGCTATTATTCAGGACAGCCCACTGAAGCTGCCACTATTTGAGAAGGGCATGGATCTACTGGTGGAAAGACAGACTCTTGGATCCAGCCATATCTGAAACCAATAGACATGTCTCTGGACATTTTGGTCACAAAAATCATTACCTCACCTGCACCATTGACAGTCTGAGCTGGTGTCACACTCAGAAGCCTCTTTGCCAAGCAGAAACTGAGTTCTGGGTGACCATGGGGCAGAGGGGACAGAGGCAGGATGGAGTAGCTGTGGGATACAGCTCAGAAGCAGAATGCTTGGCTGCATGAGCCAGGCCTTGAATTAGAGTCCCAGAACCTACCATCAACAAGAACTGCAGAGCAAGTCTTCTGCAGAAGAGCAAATCCCAGCCCAGGGTAAGCGGAGGGATGAAGGCTCCAGAAATTCAAGGCAGTATTAGGGAAGTGGGGGTGGACGTGGGCAGGTCAGATCAGCCACCTAGAACCTCAAAGGGTGGGAAGACTCCTGTGTGACTGGCATTGAGACCCCAACACAGACAGAGGACCCAGAGATACCACAGGGACAGAGGACTCAAAGGACCCATAGGGACAGAAGACCCCAAAGACCCCCAAAGGGACAGAAGACTCTGGGAACCCTGATGGGGTGAGAGGACCCTAGAGAACCTCAGATAGCAGAAAACCCCAGAGATCCTCACAGGACAGAGCAGCCTGAAGACCCCACAGGACAGAGAACCCTGGAGACCCTCACAGGACAGAGGACCCCGGAGACTCCCATAGCTACAGGACAGAAGACCTCAGAAACCCCACAGGACAGAGCATCCCATAGGCCCACAGGAGAGAGAACCCTGGAGACTCTCTCAGGAGAGAGGACTCCAGAGACCCTCACAGGACAGAGACCATCACAGGACAGAGGATCCAGGGGCCCTCACCAGACAGAGGATCCTGGAGACCCTCATGGAGCAGAAGACCCCGGAGACCCTCACAGGAGAGAGGACCCTGAAGAACCCACAGGACAGAGGACTCCAGAAACTCTCACAAGACAGAGATCCTCAAGGACAGAAGACCACAGAGACTTTCACAAGACAGAGGACCTCAGAGGCCTCATAGGGACAAAGGCCCAAAATACTCCTGGAACCATAACCTCTTGGTTATTAAAAGCATATTTTGTACTTTCTTCTACGGGACTTAAAAGCATTTTTGCTAAAAACTAACTCTTCCTTGGGTCTACAGATGCCCAATGGGTGTCTAAAACCAGAACAAAGGCTGACCTTCATTTTATGAAATCCTGGGTCAAATCCTTCTGAGCCCTGCACAGGGGCATGTTAGTAATGTAGGGAAAGTGTCTAAAAGTTGCCATAACAAGGTTTATTAGCCCTAAATTTATGTCATCTATCTCATTCCCCTTCAAGACTGAGGACACAGGGATAAGAGGCTTACAGAGCCCCTCAGTGACACACATAGGACTCCCTTGCCCTGAGCCTAGGGTCACCTTGAATTCTAGCAGAGCCTACATGACTGAGGTTGTCCAGGCAGCAATAGATGACCTGTGGAAGCCAAACTGCCCATCAAGCCCTGAGGGCTCCCCTAGAGCTGGAAAAATCAGGGCTGTGGTCCTAATAGCTCTCACCAGCCCACCACAACACCCCATAAAACTGGTGCCTGCTGTTCTGTGAACCGGCTAGTCTGACCCTCAGGGAGCGTCCCTTCAGTAGTAAGATGGACCTTCCCCGTGTTCTGCTTTCCTTTGTGAGGAGGCTGGCTTGATCTCAGCTCTTTAGCTAAGTCCCTTGCCATTTTCTCTTACTTTCCAGTGAATGCTTTTGGCTGTAAATTCCACTGTTGCTTCACTTTTAATCTCCATCGGCATTAAAGCAAGGACTGATGCCGATAGGGCCCTGAAGGTCTGGATAAGGTTTTTTGGTCAGATTGGTTCCATTCTCACCTAAAGTTTAGGGTGTTTCTGGACCCTGCTTCTGTCAATATTCTGTATTGAACATACTACATCTCAGTTTCATCTCGGTTCCATAGCTCCTGATAGAAGGGGCTGTGTGTGTCACTCTGCCCACTAGTTCCCTCTTCCAGGGCATCCAGAAGACAGGAAGCAGAGAGAAAGGGAAGAAGAGGTGGAGAATGGGTGTCTTAGTCACTTTCTTGTCACTGAAACACAACATCCAACATGCACGACTTAAAGGAGAGGCTTATTTTTGGCTCATGGTTTCAGTCCATAGTCAGTGGCTCCAAGGCAGGCAGCACGGCAGAGGGGCCTGGCGGAGGGGAGCTGCTCACAGTGTGGCAAACCAAAAAGCAGAGATCAAAGTGAGGAGCCAGGGAAGGAGAGGAACCCTTCCCATGCCCCCAGGGACTCCTCACCAGGCCCCACCTCCTAACAGCACAAGGAGCCACAGCAGCCCACAATCCCATCACCTCTCCACCCTTCTGTAAGAATGTGAGGCTATGAACTGTTACAGCAAGGTGACAGTTGGGAAGAAGCGGGTGTGAGCATCCTGCCCCAGGTCTGCGGGTTTTGGCTTTGCCCCCAGTACAGACACATTAGAGGGAACTGAGAAAACTCCAAGCTCTCAGCTTGGCCGAGCCTGTCTTGTAGCCATTCTCTGGCTCCTCTGTTCCCCTCTCTGAGCCTCCTGTTCTTCTATTCATAAAGCAGAGTGAGGCCCAAGCCTAAGTGGTCTTCAGAAAGCCCAGCCTCTGTCTCAGTCTCAGCAATGTCAGAGAGCTGCAACATAACTCACATCTGCAGGATCATGGCTTCAGCAGGGGCAGCACTTACCAAGCACAGCAGTGAGGTGACTTCTGGCATGACTCACCCAACTCAATCCTCCCACAGCCTTAGGCATTGTTATTCTCTGTTCCGCCTGTGGGGAGCCACGGCCAAAAGATATCCCAGAGCCACCATCAGATTTGGCCATTGTTCTCCTACTGTTCTTAGAAAGTGATCTGAGAAGTCCTCATCTTCTGTTCTTTGTACAATTTTTTTTTTTTTTTATCGGTATCAGGGATCGAACTCACGACTGCCTGCTTGCAAGGCAGGCCCTTATGCTGCTGAGCTAAATCCCCAGCCCCAATATTACAATCATCACACTTTATTTTATTTTATTTTATTTTATTTTATTTTATTTTGTTTTTTGGTACCGCGGATTGAACTCACAACCTCACGCTTGCCAGGCAGGCGCTTAAGCCTTTGAGCTAAATCCCTAGCCCATACAACTTTCTATAAGACTGATGACAGTTCTTCAGCTATTGAGAAGACTTTCTCAATGAAACCACCTGCAACCATCTTCATTGTGGGATGATCTTACATTATGAGCTAAGTTTATTGAATTGGTACAGAACTATCCAGATCTTCTCTGTTTTCTAGTGTCAGTTTTGGTGAAGTGTTTTTCATCTAGTATTTAAAATAGACTGTCCTCACTGTTTGAAAGTCCCCTCTATATGCTTTAATTTTGTAACTTGAACAACTATTTCTAAGATGACAATATGTAATTAACTAGTGATTTTCTACTGTTTATTTTTTCTGAAATTCTGTATAACTTGTACCCTTTTTCTGTTTTTTTTTTCTCCTTAAATAAAATAAAAAAAAATAAGACTGTCATACAAAAGACTAATATCGGGGCTGGGGATTTATCTCAGTGGCATAAGCACCTGCCTTGCAAGCAGGCGGTTGTGAGTTTGATCCCTGGTACCGAGTAAAAAAAAAAAGACTAATATCTAGAATATACAAAGAACGCGAAAAAATCAGACCCTCCTTCCCAAATTTAAAGACTTGCTGGGGATTTAGCTCAGTGGCATAAGCACCTGCTTTGCAAGCAGGCCATCGTGAGTGCGATCCCCGGTACTGATTAAAAACAAAGAAAGAAGAAAGAAAGAGAGAGAGTGAGAGAGAGAAAGAGAGAAAGAGAGAAAGAAAGAAAGAAAGAAAGAAAGAGGACCCAAATTTAAAGACTCGGTCCACAGGCCTGAGGTTTATCTCAGTGGTGTAAGTACCTGCTTGGTAAAGACTCGATCCAAAAAAGGGCATCAAGCCAGGCATGACACTTGTAATTCTAGCACTCAGGGACCGAGGTAGGAGGATCACCATAAATTCAAGGCCAGCCTGGGCTACATAATCGAGTTCAAGGCCAGCCTGCAATACATAGTGACACCCTGTCTCAAAAACAAAAATGGGCATATGTCTTTTTTAGATAAAGACATAGAAGCAGAAAATAAATATACTAAAAAATGTTCACCATCATTTGTCGTTGAAGAGATGCAAATTAAAACAACACTGAGAGTCCATTTCACTCGAGAAAGGATATGATCAAGAAATCAACCAAGGGGGCTGGGGGTTTAGCTCAGCGGCATAAGCACCTGCCTTGCAAGCATGCGGTCGTGAGTTCGATCCCCGGTACTGATAAAAATGAAAAAGACAAAAAAAAAAAAAAAAAAGAAAAAGAAAAAGAAAAAAAGAAATCAACCAATAACAAATGCTAGGGGGCTGTGGGAAAATAAAGAACTCTTCTCCATGGTTGGTGGGAGTGTAGACTGGGGTAACCACTGTGGAAATCCATGTGGAGATTCTTCAAAAAACTAAAACCAGAGGTTCCATTTGACCAGGTATTCCCTTCCTTGGCATCTTCCTGAAAGTGAAAAGGATCATATTATAGTGACATATGCACACTCAAATTTATAGCAGCACAATTTGTATTAGCTAAATCTTGGAAAGAGCCCAAATGCCCATCAATCAATGAATGGATAAAGAAGATGTATTTTTTTTTAAAAACACAATAGAGTACTACACTGCCATAAAGAAGGATAAACTTGAGACATTTCTAGTTAAATGGATGCACCTTAAAACCACACAGTTAATGAGCCAGGGATTTAGCTCAGCAGTATAAGCGTCTGCCTGGCAAGTGTGAGGTCGTGAGTTTGATCCCCAGTAACAAAACAAAACATATAGTTAAGTAAAATAAATCAGACACACATGTTTGAATATTGTATTTTTCTCTGGTGTGAGAGTAAATAAGGACCAAAAATACAAACTAGATATTAGGAAATAGGGAAAAAATGTTCAAATGGGAAGGGGAATAAGGGAAAGGAGTAGGGAGAAAGGAAGGAATGGGAAAGAAAAACAATAGAAAGAAAAAAATGGAAACAGAACTTTTATAAATAAGGAGGGAAAGACAGGTCGAAGAAAAGAGAGGAAATTGGGGGGGAAAAAAGAACCAAGTAGGTACAGGTACAAATTCCCTATGGTGAATGTGATCATTATGAACATCTAACGTGTACCAATAAAATTAATTTAAAAAATAAAATGAACTGTAACAAACTTGTTCATGCTACTTTCTCATTATCCTTTTAACACTTGCAGTATTTCTAATGATTTTTCCTTTTTCATTCCTTAGAATGGAAATAGTATTTTCTCTTTTCTTATTTTTTCCAGGGGTTTAGTAATTCTATTAATCTCTTTTTTTTTAATTTTTTTTTTTTGTCTTTTTCAGTTTTTATCGGTACCAGGGATCGAACTCACGACCGCCTGCTTGCAAGGCAGGTGCTTATGCCGCTGAGCTAAATCCCCAGCCCCAATTCTATTAATCTCATAACGACTGTTGGCTATGTTGATTTTCTCTTGTATCTTATTTGTTTCATCAAATTATGCTCATCTTTGGGTTTATTCTTTTTCTAGTTTTTTTCTTTTTTGGTACCTGGGATCGAACTCATGACCTCGAGCTTGCCGGGCAGGCACTTAGGCCACTGAGCTAAATCCCCAGCTCTCTTTTTCAAGTTTTTTGAGGTAAAGCTTGGAATATTAATTTTTAACCTTCTAACACTATAAATTATCCTCTCCCTACTGCTTTAGCTGCATCCCACAGATTGTTTTTGTTTCGTTTTTGAGACAGAGTCTCACTATGTAGAGTTCAGATAGGTTACTAAGTAGGCCAGGTTGGCCTAGAATCTGAGCCGATCCAGTGTGATTGGACACTGGTTATTTGTAAGTATAGTTCTTTTCTAAGCAGTTAAGAGACTTTCAGTAGTTTTTACTGTAGTTGAGTTTTAACTTAATTTAGGGAAGACGCGTTGTATGATTTCAATCCTCTGAAATCTGCTGACAGTTGTCTAGAGCCCAGGCTGTGGCCTATTTTGATAAACACCCTATGTACATAGGAAGAGAATATGCATTCCACAGCTGCGGGCAAAGTGTTACATATGCGAATTAGGTCAAACTGGTTAATCCTGTTGCTCAAAATATGTGAGATTGGCTTCAACATAAAGAAATAGACCAGTGGATAAGAACAAAGTGCAAACAGACACTTCTGTAGAAAGTTTTTTAGTAAATAATGCTGGATTACTTGAAAACTCATAAAAAGAAAATAATCTGGGGCTGGGGATTTAGCTCAGCGGCATAAGCACCTGCCTTGCAAGCAGGCAATCGAGAGTTCGATCCCCGGTACTGATAAAAAGGAAAAAGACCAAAAAAAGAGAAAATAATCTGTACTGCACCATTCACAAAGGATTACTTAGTGATCCCTCATGTATTTAACTGGAAGCCCTAAAACAAGCTCCTAAGAGAACAGCCCAATGAAACCATTAGAGTACCCTGATGAAAAAAACCACTAATCATGAAAGAGAAGTTTGATAAATATGACTTCATCACTTTGGTTGGGTTCAGTGGCATCCCAGCCCTTAGGAGGCTGTGGTGGGGGAACCACTTGAGTTTGTAAGTTCACGACCAGCCTGCGCAACAGCGACCATGTACAAACAAACAAACAAACAAACCCTTCCCTCCCTCACAAAAAAACAACAGCAAAACCAAAAAAAAACCTCACTTGTTCCTTAAAAGCAAAAGCGAATCACGGCACGGGAGAAGTTATCTGCAAAATCTCCAGTACAAATACAAGTATCCATCTAGAACTCACACTCGTGCCAGACTAGAACGCTCTAATCCAGGAACTATGAACAATCTGTACAAATCTGTAAAAAAAAAAAAAAAAAGAGGCACGTAAGCAATGCAGCCGTAACAGGGAGCCAGCGCGAACCACGCGGCCGCGCTCAGGGCCGCCCCCTCCTCCCCGCGTCCAGGGAACTGGCTCAGGCCTCCTTAAGCCGAGGCGGGGCAGCTCCGGGCCGCTCCACGCTCCGCCCCGGGGTTGCCGTCTCCTTAGAAGGCGAAGCCCGGGCCTCGCCCCTGCCGGCGGGATCTTGCCGCGCCCCGCACACCCGTGGGACCACAGCCTGCGAGCGCGGGAAGCCGTGGACCCCGGCTAGACGTGGACTGGGCGCGTGGTGGGCAGCGCGGAGCCCACGCCGGACCGCGCGCCCCGGCCATGCGGCGGGAGAGGTGAGCGGGGCGCGGGGCGCGGGGCGCGGGGCGCGGGGCGGAAGGACCTGGGGTCCCCAGGCGGGTGACTTTCCCCGCGGCTCTCAAGCCCAGAACCTGAGAATGTGATCAGGGCTTAGAAGATGCCGGCCTGGCGTCGCGAGGTTCCCGTCCCGGCCGCGCCCAGCGGCTCTCAAGAGCGCACGCGACGGTGGGGTTGGGCTCAGGTCTCGGTACCTGTCCTGAGCCCGGTCCCCAGAGCGCTGTCCTCGCAGGTGTGACGCCCCCCGCCCGCGAGCTCGCCATGGAGGTCCTGCGCCGCTCCTCGGTCCTTGCTGCAGAGATCATGGACGCCTTTGACCGCTCGCCCACCGACAAGGAGCTGGTAGCCCAGGCCAAGGCGCTGGGCAGGGAGTTCGTGCACGCGCGGCTCCTGCGCGCCGGCCTGGCCTGGAGCGCGCCCGAGCGCGCCGCGGCGCCGGGGGGCCGCCTGGCGGAGGTGTGCGCAGTGCTGCTGCGCCTGGGTAAGTACCCTCACCAGCCTAGTCTACCCCGCGCGACCCCGCGTCTGCTTGCCGGCCCTGGTGCACTGGCCAGTACTAGGGGAAAGCTAAAGTTGGCAGGGTTTAAGTGGCTGAGTCTCAGAATGACCCTTGGACTCCACGAGGCACAGAGATCCTTGGTGGGACCACGTGTCCCGTGTTTGTTTTGGAAAATAGGACTTTTTAATTGCTGCCTGGCTGAAATCCCATGCTGCTCTTTCCCCCTGCATTTGGAGAGCTCCCCGCCTCTCTGCGGAGCAATGGGGCACTTGTCGCTACATCTCCCCCAAGATCTGAGTTCTCAGGAGAGGGACGACAGACCCTTAGCCACCCCTCAAGGCCATCTAGCCCTGTGTGTGCCTGGGAAAGGAGGAGCCCTGAGTGGTGGTGGGAACCAGAGCCCTTGTCCGAGTGGCCTCTTCTTGGGCTCAGCATTCTTCTGCGGACCCTGCATTTTTGTGCTGTGTTAGTTCCTGGAGCAGGACTGTGTAGATGCAGCTTGCCTGAGAGTGTGGTGGGGGCAGCACCCTGCAGAGGGGTGAGCCTGCTTGGAGGATTGGTTAGACCAGGGGTTGCCCAGTCTGTTGAGTATGACTCCGTGAGGCCACTGCCCACCATTTCTGTCCAGGCTACTTACTGTGTGACCAGGCTGGCTTGTGTCCCCTCTGTCCTGTCAACAAGCAGCACCTTAGGGTTTCCCCAGGTGAACACTTCCTGACAGCTGAGGGGGTTCCAGGAAAGGTGGTTTGGTTCCCTGCTCTGCAGCTGGCCTTAAAGAAGCCCTGTGTGTCCCTACAGCTACATCCTGGGGCAAGTCCTGGGAGGCCCCCAAGGTCTGGCTGGGGAAGCACCAGGCTAGTCCTGGGAATTTCCATGGCCCCCCACCCTCAGCTGGCCTTGGGTTCTGCTCCCATTCCAGACCATAATTACTTAGATGGAGCACAGCTGGCTCTTATCACTGGCACGGTCTAGTCGGCAGCATTTCCCTATTTGCTTTGGCTGGTGAAGTGGCTGGACTGGGGACGCCCAAGCCAGAGGCTGTATGGAATTCCCGGCACTGTCTCCCTAGTGCTTGTACCCTATGCCAAGGGTGCCCCAGCCCCCAGGCGACAGGCGTGGGAGTCACTTCCTACCCAGTGGGCCAGGCATGCATGTCTAGGAGCCCAGGCTAGAGAGTGTGCAGCGCTGCAGCCAATGCCGGGCTCTGCTCTGAGTCAGTTCACCCTAATTGAGGTGTTGAGGGGCCGCTCTGCCTACCTGTATTGGCTCTGATGCCTGCTCCTTTCCAGGTTGGGCCTTGGCTGCTTGCCTGTCCCTCTTGCCGCCTGCCCTAGCAGCTCAGCTGCCTACCCGTCTGCCCGCTGCCTGCTGTGAGTCACCAGCAGGCACAGCCCACGCTGATAGATTCTTGCCCCACCGGCCCAGCCAGCTCAGTCCTGGGGGCTGCTTGTCATAGCCCAGTACCTCCTGGGTCTCTTTGTCCCTAGGGCTTGAGGTTGGGGGTAGCAGGTAGGGTTAAGTGGAGTCAGAAAGTGGGGGTGAGAATCAGGTTGGTGGCAATGGGGTTAGGTGAAGTCAAGTGGAGATCAGCCTGGAGGTCATGGGGCCCCAGCCAGCCTGGCATGGGAGCTGTCTCTCACTCACATGTGTGTCCACCAGGGGACGAGCTGGAGCAGATTCGGCCCAGTGTGTACCGCAACGTGGCCCGCCAGCTGCACATCTCCCTGCAGTCAGAGCCTGTGGTGACTGATGCGTTTCTGGCTGTGGCAGGCCACATCTTCTCAGCAGGTAGGCCACAGGCACAGGTTCCCCAGGGAGTTCAGGGCAGGGCCCAGTGTGTGAGGACTAGGCAGTAGCTGAGGGTAGGGATGGCCCAGTCCACATCATACAAAGATGACCTCCAGGTGGCCTGGTGACCCTTGCCTCTCAAGGAGGAGTGTGGGGAGCAGCTGTGTCCTGCTCAGTGCTGGTCCCTGCCCCTATACTTGAGAGGTGACATGTGCTGACTCCAGTGTGTTAGGCGAGTCTCCTCTGACCCAAGGGGGCAGGGTGGGCTGGACTTGGTTGTGCTTTCCTACTTGGTGGCCGGTACACTGTTGGGTTACTGCCTTCCTGATGGACTCACTGTGGCTGGGGTGTCACGAGGGAGGCATTGGGGCCTGAGGAGTGGGCTTCCGAGGTCGGGTCCTAGAAGAGTTCAGTCCTGTGCCCTGTGTTCACCTGGTTTCTGTAGCACATGCTGGGCCCCTCCTGAGGAGCAGCAGGTGCCACAGGCTGTGGTATGGGCTGAGGGGTCTGGGCCAGTGGAGTGGCTGGACTCCTGGCCCAGTGCTCTTTAGGGTACTCAGAGCCTAGTGCCTTCATGATCTGAAGATCAACCTGTGACCTGCATGTTGGGCTCACTGTCTGTCTCTGGGTGCTTGGGTTGGTTTACAAGCCTTGGGCTAGATGTAAAAGGCAGCAGTGTTCATTCAGGATCTCAGCTCTGGGTGCAGGAGGGGGCAGAGCCCTGTGAGTTGGGTGTGTCAGCAGGGGACAGGGTCAGGTCAGGGCAGTGCCTTTGCCCATGGGGTTTAGGGGGTAGCAGGGGAGATCCAGAGGGTCCTTGGGGGAGGACAGAGGTGGTGGGAGGTGCTAAGGACCATGACAGGGAGGCACCTGCTTCCAGGGGGAGCTCAGCCAAAGCCTGTGGTGGTCAGCAGCTGCCCCCACCCCATCACAGTGTCCACCCCGAGCTGGCTTTGGCAGGCAGGGAACTCTTCTGGGCCAGGCCCGAGTCCGCGGCCTGCTCTCAAGTTATATGAGCTATGGTAGTTTTTTAACCCCTTGAAGCCTTAGCACCTCTGGAGTAGGGAGCAGAGCAGTGGGGCTGCCTCTCAGCAACATACAGATAAAAATCTGAAAACCATAAGTTGGTAAGCACCTGAAAGATGTTTGCTGTCACTGGTCATTAGGGAAGCACTAGTCCTAGTCCGGGCTGCTTCAGACATACGAGCCTGGTCAGCCCCAGGTTCCTCACATGGTGCGGCCACTTTGGGAACAAGTCTGGCAGTTCCTTGGATGGTTAAAGAGTCACCAGATCATCTGCCAGATCTACTCTTCAGCATATGCCCACGAGAAATAAAAACGTACGTCACACAGAAACTTGCACAGAAGTGTTCCTAGTGCATTACTCATCATAGCTAAAAAGTAGAAATGAGCCAGGCCTTGTGGTGCACGCCTACCATCCAACACTCTGGAAGTTCTGAGCAGGAGGCTGGCAGTTCAAGCCCAGATCGGACAACTTAGTGACTTAGACCCTGTTTTAAAAACAAACAAGTGGATGTAGCTCAGTTCAGAACCTTGAGTTCTATCCCATGTACCGCACACACACAGGAAAGAACCCACATATCCTCTAGTTGACCAGAGGATGTGGAATATTATTCAGCTGTGAAAAGGAATAAAGCATTGATGTGTGCTGCCTTGGAACCTCAATAGCAAGGTGCTGAGTGACATGTGCCCAACACAGAACACAGTAGATCTTGTGGCTCCACTCGTGGGAAGTGTCCAGAGTAGATCTGTAGAGATGAAAATAGGCCTGAAGTGACCACGGGTAAAGAGGATACAGGGAGTGACCGCTCATGGCTGTGGGGCTGCCACGGAGGTGGTAAAGATGACAAATGTAACGCCCCACTGTTTGTTTGTTTGTGACAGTCTTGCTTTGTAGTTAGGCTGGGCTTAAATCCTGAAGATAGCCTAGGCTGGCCTTGAACTCACAGTGATCCTCCTGCTTCATCCTGCAATATGCCACTTTTGAAAGATAAACTTTATGGTAATGAAATTATGTCTCAGTGACAAAGAAAATGCAAGAGCCAGGGGAAAAGCAGGAGCTCCTCAGAACCACCCCAGCACATGGCCCTGCTGGGCCTGCCTGAGGGCCATGGCCCTCTCACCAGACAAGTGAGCTCTACTGCCAGCTACACGATGGCAGATGCTCCAGCGCACATTCCTGGCATCATTGTCCCTGTACCACCCACCCAGTGCCCTGGGCATAGCAGGCGCAGAGCCACCTGGGTGTCCATGGGTCTGGTGACCTGGGGCAGGAGCACAGCAGGCAGAAGACCAGGGTGGCGCTTGAGCTCACCTGGACGGGGCCACTGCTGAGTGCGGCCAGGCCAATGCAGATGGGATCTCAGAATTGGATTTATTTGGAAAGAAATGGAACATAACGTCAACAGAATTCAGGCCCAGAATGACAGACTAATTTCAGGGTTCTCCCACTTAGGGAGGTGAAACTCATGTGTCATGTGAGAAGACCATTCTGAAGGGCACAGCTCGATGGCATTTGGTGCATTCTGCACATACATCCTCACCTGCCAGTTTCAGTCAATGTGGTTCCCACTTGGGGTCCTGACTCCTGGCCCTGTGCTGTCCTCCCCTCCCATCCTGTTATGTTCATCAAGTCAGCAGCTGTGGCCTCTACTTCCTATGTCTGACGTTCAGCATGTGGCAGGCATCAGACCCTTGCCCCCTTACGGCTGGGGGTGCCACTGGTGCCTCTGTCACTGTGGGTAGTGATGGTCATCCCATTGTGCTGCAGTGACACTGTCTGATTAGAGGAGGTCACTATGGCACAGGGGAGGTGGATCAAGGGTGCACAGTAGACTTTTCACAGACTTTATATACACCACTTCTACACAGACAGAGTTCTGTCCAGCAGGGGCACACACTGTGACTGCTGCCACCTCATCCTTACGTGGCTTTATGTAGCTTTAATGGGATTGGTCATGATCTATATCTCATTTTAATTTACCTTTCTTATTGGTGAGGTTAATTTTTTCATAAGTCTGATGTATTATTTGTACCTTCTTTTTGGGAGTAGCCTTTCTGCTCTGCTTATATTTGGATTATCAATGTGAGCACAAGGAAGCATCCCATCATGTGACCTGAGCATGTTTTTACCCCATCGTGTGTGTCTGTTCCTCCAGGGAGCCCTGTCCTGTCTCTGCCTCTCAGGAGGTCTGTAGTTGGGATCCAAGTCTTCTTGATCACATGTGGACATGGGTACTACCCTGCTGTCCAGCAGTGCTGCTCAGAGGATACTGCCAGGGTGCTGCTGTTCTGGAGCATCCATCTGCCTAAGGACCATCCTGATCCTGGGCAGAACAACCGTAAAGATGGTGGTCGGGCTCCCTTGGGGTCCACTGACCAGCACCATGTCAGTGTGGGGGCTTGGTGGGTATCTCCCCTGACCAGTAGACCTCTCTCTGCAGGCATCACATGGGGCAAGGTGGTGTCCCTCTACTCGGTGGCTGCGGGGCTGGCTGTGGACTGTGTGCGACAGGCCCAGCCTGCCATGGTTCATGCCCTGGTCGACTGCCTGGGGGAGTTTGTGCGAAAGACCCTGGCTACCTGGCTGCGGCGGCGTGGCGGATGGGTGAGCAATGCATTGTGTGGAGATGGGGTGGCAGGCCCAGGCCTTGGATCCAGGACAGCTTAGGACTTGTGGGTAGCCCTGGCTGGCTCTGCCTGCCTGGATCTGGCTCCTACCCCACCTTAAGGTCAAGACTGGTACCTGGCAGGAGTGGCCATGAGAGGTGGCTCAGGAGAGACAGTGCTCAGACCTGCAGGCTCTGTGGGGAGGAGGGAAGGCATAGTGGTGTCACAAATGGCCTTGGTGTCTCTTCCCACCCTGGGAAGCCTTCAGGCAAGACCCTGTTCCCAGCTGGCACTTGGCCTCACCTCAGGAGACCTCAGCTACCCCACAGGGATCTTTGTTCTGTCAGCTTGGCTTCTCCACACTGGGTCACATGGCCTGTGTATATGGAGCCCCCTCCATGCCCAGGCCCCTTGGTGGACACTGCCCCCGTCCTCTGAGCCTGGCAGGGATGGGGTGCTGTGTGTGATTTGGGTGGTACTGGGATCACTTCTTGGCAGGGTTACTGCCCTCCCAGGCGTCTGAAGCCAGAGTGTTCCTTTCCTGGCCCCGTGGGCTTAGAGGGCCTCAGCAGGGATGCTGGGCTCTCTGCACCCTGTGGAGCACCTGTTAAGAGGTAGCCCCAGCTGGGGGATACTCTCAGGGCCCTGGTCTTGTGCTGGGCTCCTTTCCTTTCCGGGGGGGCCTGCAGGTCACTGTGGTGCAGGATGCTGGGGCCTGGCCTTGCTGATTGTCCCCTCCTCCCTGCAGACCGATGTCCTGAAGTGTGTGGTCAGCACCGATCCCAGCCTCCACTCCCACTGGCTCGTGGCCGCGCTGTGCAACTTTGGGCGCTTCCTGAAGGCCGCCTTCTTTGTGCTCTTGCCAGAGAGATGAGTGCCTGCCTGGCACTCTGTGCCCAACCGGGGAGCCCTGCAGCACCTGGACAGCCCTGTCCCCTCCCAAGCCCCAAGCCCCAAGCTCCAGCCCTTCTCTCAAAGCCACTGCCCAAGTGCCAAGGGCAGCCCCAGGTTCTGCCCAGAAAAGGCCATAGCAGGATGCGAGCTGGCCTCGGTCCTCATGGGCAGCAGGCTCTGCACTTCCAGGCTGAGGACCTGTGTGCTGACTGCTGAGCCCATCCTAGAGACAGCATCTGCCATGAGAGGGTAGGGTTGTGGGTGGGCTCCAGATGTGGACAGGATGGTCTGTGGGAGCTGAGCCAGAGAGGCTTTGTCCTCTGCCGGGTAAGAATGACCCACTTGCCCCTTGTGCCACTTGCAGAACCCTGAAAACTCAGACATGGGAGGCTGGCCACCACCTTCTCCTTGATGCTGTTTCCCAGGCAGGGCACGTGTTAAGTCCCACAGCCCCTGCCAGTCCTGCCAACTCATGTGACATGGCACTAAGAGGAAGACATGTGGAAGAGCTGCTTCCTCCAGCTCCCTGTGCCCCATGCAGGCATCCCGCTCTGCTGCCAGGCTGTGTGCTGCAGGGGACTCATGCAGTCCTGGGTCAGTGGCAGTCAACACGTTGAAAGAATGCTGGGAATAAACTCCAGACTGCTGTTCTCACGTTAAGAGTCAATCTCCTATGCAAGAGTCTCCTCAGGTGCCACGAGAGGTGTGAGGAGCTACTAGAAAACTGTGCAGGGGGCTTCTAGGACTGCTGCTCTGTCTGGTGTCTAAAGGCACCAACACTTGTTCCCAACAGCAGGAAAGTATGGGTACTGAGGTGCAAGGGACAGTAGAGACATTAGGATGTCACAACCTGGAGCTCTCGCTCACTTCCTTCGTGGAGGCAGGTGACCTGGGTCAGACTAAGGAAGTTGTCAGATTGCTGTTGCCCCAAACTGCACTGGACAGAGTGGAAAAGCTCAGGAACTTCATTCCCATAAATAACTTGAAAGTTGTCTTCCCCCATTTCATTCAGGAGTGGGCTGAGATCCTGCACTTCAGACTCAGGACCCTGTCCTTCTGGTGACCTCGTGCACTTTGAGCTCAACCTCACTAGTGATCCAGCTGAAGGGAGGGTCCCGAGAGGGAAGACCTCAGGGTAGTATGGGACCTGTGCCCTGGGCAGCAGCAAACTCTCTCCCTGTCACCTAACTCTCCCAAACTCCCTGTTCCTGGGTGCAGGGTGCCCCATGAGGAAGGGCTTTGACTGCTGATCCTGGCCCACCGGGAGCTGCTGGAGAACCTCTTCTCTGGGCCTCATGCTGAGGGAGCCAGAAAGCAGGGTGGCTGGATGCTGGCATCTCTGTCCCCCAGGTGCCGCTCCTCTGAGGCCAGCACTCCACCCTCCCTTGCTCAGAGGCCTCGTCTGCAGCGCTTCAAGCTGCTGTCATCACTGGTATCCCAGCTTTGAAATCCCACTCTGGGTTCCCTGTACCCAACAGTGTCACTTAGGGCTCTGATGTTGGAGACTGAGTCCACCAGGATGAATGCATCTAGCACTGGGGAGCCTGCAATCCCTGCATTTTGGGAGGCTGAGGCAGGAAAATCTTGCATTTGAGGTCAGCTTGGGCAGTTTAACAAAACCCTGTCTCAAAGTTTTTGAAAGGACTGGATATGTAGCTTGAAGTCCTGGATTCAATCCCCTTGTACTGCAAAACGAAAAAACAAAAACAACTCCCCCTACTCCCACCAGGACGAGAAGCTCAAGTGTCTCAGAAACAGCAAGGTTAGACCACCTCCTCCCCTAGACCAGGCAGTCTTTTGCTCAAGCCCCTGGGCCACACACGTGCATGTGCACATTTGTTGCACAACTCACGCTGGTTGCTCAGATGTACCCTGCTCTGTGGCCCATCTACCTTGCTCTTTCTCATCTGTCACCCTGTGTTGTCTCTTCCAGGTGGCCTCCGCAGGTCCAATACCAGCCCAGGTGCCAGGAAGTAGATACACAGTCTCTTTCCTCAGTTTACTCTTCTGTTCAACAAAGGTTGAGCCACAGCCCTGGTCAGCCTCTTTGGAGGCAGTCCTGGAGGCGGTTTCTGTGTTCAAGGCCCAGGTTGCCCCTTTCCCCGCAGGCCTTGCTGTCTCTAGTTCCTCCCTACCCTGGAGCATTCCTTGTCTGCTCCTCCCGTGCCCAAGGAGGACCAAGGTGGACCAAGGTGGAGCGGGGGAGTGCTGTGGACCTTTCTGGGGGATACCAGCTGTTGGGGTCTCAGAGCCTCTTGCCCAGTAGGTGGCAGGTGGAGTTGGGGCAGTGGGAAGAACACTGATGTCCCCACATGATGCGCTGCTGCCACCCGCCCAGTTGACATTCTGTCTTCTGCCCTCCTGGTCTCCCAGGGCAGAGGCTTTGAGACATTTCTAGCACAAGAAAGCAGTGTTTAGGAAGAGAGAAGCCGGAGAACAGCAGGGTTTAAAGCAGCAGAGAGGCTGGTGGCTGGGCGTGCACACAAGTTAGAGGACACAATGGCAACAGCAGCAAGACAGAAGGAAAACCTAAAAATACCTTAAAGACACCAGAATAGATGGAAGAGATAAAAATTGTTAGCGGGTGGGGAAATGCTCATAAACAACCTTGTCACACAGTCATGAAGCTAATGTCATCCTTATAAAAGTACATTTCCCCCCAAATCTAAACAAGCTGATTATAAAGTTCATGGGAGAGAAGCAGAAGTAGCCAGGAAAACCCCAAAGCAAAGTGCTGGGGAGAGCACAGTCCTGCTGTCCCCACCGGACCTAGTGGCACCAAAGCACAGGAAGCCCCAGGCCCAGGGCCCCAAAATGGTGCCCACGCTGGGGTCACCTCACTGCCCCCCATCACGGCCCGGGAAGACTCCTTATAAATGCAAGGCAACCGCCAACCTCAGTGACTGACCAGGATGGGTCTGCACTGAGTCTCGCATGTCAGGACGATGCCACGCAAAGCAAGAGGGACTCAGCGAGCACCACAGCACTAGAAAAATGGAACTACCTGAGAGTTGGAGTGGGAGAAATTTTCCTACATGAGTTTGAATCCAGGAATGGTAAAAACCAAATACATTGTGGAAAAATGTAAATAGTAAACATTCTCAAAGCACTGGTCAGGAGACAAAGCAGAGCCAGGTTTCATGGGTAGGAGTTTCCTTTAGAGAGGAAAGCATGGACACAATCTGTTGCCAAACCACATGAAAGTGTGTACCCCAGACACTTGAAATGTGTTTTGAATTGGGTGTGATGGTGTAGCACTGTAATTCCAGCACTCAGGAGGCTGAGGCAGGAGGATCTGCTTAGGTTTGAAGCCAGTGGGGGGGCTGCATAGTGAGCTCAAGGCCAGACTGAATTACTGAGATCTTCTCAAAAAAAAAAAAAAAAAAAAAAGTTTTATGTTACTAGCATTTTGCCTTAATAAAGATTGCAATTTAAAATGAAAGATGTTAGGATTAATAGTCCTAATTCAAGAGTTTATAAGCTCTTGAAAAATCAAGAAAAAATGTGAGAAATGCCACCCAAAAGTACCTCAAGGGCCTGTTTCCCAGTTCAAATTTGATATTGTTCTGCTGTCTGTGGAGAAGACATGTCACCTGAGGCACAGGGGTGCAAAGCATGTCCCTACAGCCAGTAAGCTCTGGCTTGTGACTGGCAACCCCACCTTAATGGCCCCATCTCCCAGGTGCCCTGCAATGGGCCGAGCAGCCCCACCCTTGGGGATCTGCTGGAGGAGTTGGCGAGGACTCTTAACTGGCGCCCATGCTGCAGCCTGTGCCTTGTGCCTCTGGAACCGGTGTGCATACCACAGAAACATCAGAGCTGTTGCTGACCCACACCTATTCCTGCAGTTTGGGAGGCTGAGACAGGGGAATTGTAAGCTGGAGCCTATCTTGAGCAATTTAGCAACTTAGACCTTGTCTCAAAATAAGAATGAGAAGGGGGCTAGGAGCATGTAGCTCAGTTTAGAGCCTCTAGGTTCAATCCCTGGTACTGCCAAACAAAAACAAAACAACACAACAAAAAATCCCAAGTCAAATGATTTGCATGAATAAAATAGCTTAAGCAAGAGAACAATCAGTTTCTAGAAATTACACAGCTGAACTTGTATGCTACATTGGTGACATAACCTAGAGAGAATTTATTCCAGTTATATTTTAACTTGATAGCTTCACTGGGGAAAGTATAGGGAGAATAGCAAAAATACTGAAGCTTCAGTCAGCAGACTTCTTGTTAATAGCTATGGCTATTTTGAAGCAATGATACATATCCTGTAAAGCAAACAATTTGGTGGATCAGGATTTTCAGTTTAAAAGATAAAATCAAAGAATATAAATAAGAAACCCCTATAATTCTGGAGGTCAGACAGAAGCATTGGTCATGTGTGTAATGGAGCTGGGGAGGAGGCCAGAGCTCAGGGTAATCTACGTGGCTCAGGACTGGCAGGAAATGCTTGAGCTGTGTCCCTGGAAAGTCCTGGAGACCGAGTGCCCAGCAAGAAGCCCACATGCCCAGGCTGTGGCTCAACTACCTCCCCCCAGGGGAAAGGAGCAGCCCGAGACACAGTCTGCAAAAGAAACGGACAGCACTTGATGAAAATGACACTGAGGAGCGTCCTCATTCTGCATGTCACCTGAGGTGATCTGCCCATGTGCACTACTCTCTCAACTCAGAACCCACAAGAATCACACACATTAAATTTTGCATCTTCATTTTAAGAGCACCTGTGAAACTGCCTGGGCCATGTAGGTGTGTACATCCTGAAAGGCACCAAGTATCTAGAAGATGTCACTTTATTTTATTGATTTATTTCTGGTACCAGGAATCAAACTCATCACTGCATGCTTGCCAGACCAGCACTGTGCTGCTAAGCTATATCCTCAATTCCTAGAAGATGTCACTTTAAAGAAGTGATGTCGAGCAGGGTGTGTGTGGTAGCACACACCTGTCATCCTAGTAGACTGGGAGGCTGAGGCAAGAGGACCCCAAGTTTAAGCCAAGCCTGGGCAACTTAGTGGGACCCTGTCTCAAAATAAGAAAGAAAAAGGTGAAGGATGTAGCTCAGTGCAAAGGCTCTGGGTTCACTTAAAACAAAAACAAAAACAAGCAATATGTGCCATTTGGTGTTATTGGCTGATTGTTAGCCTAGGCCCAACTGTGGGCTTAGGACACAGGGTTGATGGCCCAAAAAAGGCTGAATTTTGCTGCACATGTTTAAAAATACAGGGTAGAGCTGAGCTTAAGGGTTTAGGTAGTTTTTCTGTCACCCAGCACAGCCAGGTGGACATACCATCCACACCAAGCTCTCATTGCCCAGGAAGGTACAAAGGATATGTGACCCTGACAAGAGAGGAGGGTATAGGAGGTGAAGTGTCCCAGAGGAAGCAGCAGAAACAAGCTGTAAATAAAACAGCTTCTGTTGAGAGCTGGGGGACACAGCATGGCAAGGTCCTAGGTTTTGTGGGGGTGGCTGCAAGGAGACCTCACTCTAAGCACCAACACCTGAGGGGAAGAAGCGCGGTGGCTCCCTGGTAATGTGGATGATGAAGGCAGTGTGTCCGAGGGTCCCACCACTGAATGCAAACGGGACAGAAGAAACAGAGGTCAGCTGGGCATGGCAGCACACCTGCCATCCCAGTGCTCAGGAGGCTGAGGCA